CATCTGGAGAAATTCAACTTACTCTTTGGGAAAACCAAGTTTCAAAACTGCAACTAGGTAACTCCTACACCTTTACCAATCTTAAAACTAGACTGTACAACAGCCTTAAGAGCCTCACAACAACCCTGAAAACAACCATGGAACCTATTGCACAGGACCAAGTTTTCCCACCTGGTCAAGGCCCTAAAATCAGTAAAGAACCCTCTCTACCTAATACAGTGGTGAAACAAAAGCCAATAGGGGTGCAAATAAACATTAAAAAACAATGTCCAAAATGCCACAAATCACAAGAACAATTCAACATCAAACAGCAATTTCACCGTTGCCCGACTTGCAAAATTCTACGGAACACAAAAAGCTATATAACAAAATGCAATGGAATAATTGAGATAAATCAAGACAGTCAAATAACTTCTCTTACGGTTTCGAACTCAACTTTGTCAAAATTCATAGCACCAGAACTTGAACTGTCAACTTGTGATTCACAAGATATAGAAGAACTCTTTCTATCCTCCGATGAACTGACTTTAACATATAATAACTGTTTGGAAGTCACCAATATTGAAAACGCTTCATCCGCTCATCCCAGTGATGAGGATTTATTTGAAGTGAATATCGATGAAATCAACCCTGTCCTCTGTGTCACAGAGACACAAAGCACTCCAGAACCCAAGTCTCCAGTTAAAAGACCATCTGAGCCAACAACGCCTCCTATTACACCAGCTAAAAAACCTTTGACTAAGAAGAGTGCTGTAAAAATAATACAAAAATGACTTTGTATTGAAATGCACAACTAAGATGGTTGTGTGTGTGTGTGTATATATATTGAAATGATGGTATTGGTGTTTTTTTTTTTTTTTTTTTTTTTAATGAATGGCAAATATTGATTTAAGTCATGTTTTCTATTGAAATTAGGTTAATTTTGTCCATTATGTTCTGAAATGCTACTGATTGATTTTTATTTCATTTTTATGGCAAAGCTTTGTTAAATGTTGTTTAATGTGTTTTTTTTTTATTAAAACAAATGTGTGTCAATTCTTGGAATATGTGACCTTTATTGCATGGGCTTATCTTGCATTTGGAAAGTTGCGTGCATTCTTCTAGCCATTCTTAACTAGGCACTAAGTTTAGTTTCACAAACCATACTGGGAAAAGCAAGTAGTGTAACCATAAGTGTCATTGTGAATAACTAAAGAAACGGTTGGTATTCTGTTCTGTAAAGATTTAAATATGCAACAATGGTGCTTTAAAATCACTTCAAAGGCCCCCTCTAATTTGCTTACTTTATCCAATGTGCTAAATGGTATTTAAACTAAAAATAATCGTTATTTTTAATTCACATTTTTATCACCTCTCACAATGTTTTTTCTAGGCAGCATAAAAAAAAAAACTTAATTGTACAAGACATTATCAAAGATGACTGTCAAAGTAATGTACTTGTAGCAAAAATATAGGTTACAGTTGCATATGGCAGTTAACCCATGTAATTCCAATTTCTTTTCCCTGAGATAACATGTATGAATACATAAGGATATTAAACAATCTTTAACAATTACGTCAAAAATATATATCAAAATCCATACAAAAAACTTGATTATTCGTCAGGTCACAATTGTGACCATTAGTAGAACAAAGGGAGGCTAGGTATATGGTGTTAATGGATTTATAAACTGACAAACTTCTACAGTTTAAAGACCAGGTTCAATAATTGTTTTAAGCTTTAGTTAATAGTGTTGTATTACATCAAAGACACACCATGCAAAATTTCCATTTGTCAAACAGTGACCCCTAGAGTCGCTGTGGAGTACTTGTATTTTTTCTGAATATTAACTTAATGACCTAATATCTAATATGCCCATGACAATTTAGAAACTGAAAATAGAACATAAAAATATGTATTAGATCTAATATAACAAAATTACAAGATTATAAAATGCATTGCGTGAATTCTTGTTTAAAGAGAAGTGTTTAATCTACAATTAAACTAGGAATGTTTGACAGAATAGTGAATATTATCAGGAAACCTGCTCCAGACTTTAGGACCCACATGCAAAAACAAAACATTCTCTCCTTTAGTGCAGTTCAATATTCTTAGTAGTACCAAAAGTCCAGAATTGTAAGATTCTTACAAGAACCTGTTAATCTTAATGTTGTAAAATAATATTTTATCGATCTATATACTGCATCTTGGACTAACTTTATTTGTTAAAGGTGCAGGACAACCACCTAACAGTGAATCACAATAATATCAACTAAACTCATTAAACGTAACATGCTGTCCATTTAAATACTAAATCTTCATTTTGAGTTGATTCTCATTTGAACTATGGAACTTCTACATCTATGGAAACACATGACTTTCCAGGGGCTCAATGAGTGACAGGCATATGACCCAGAGATTGTGGGTTCAAGTCCTTTGTCTTACAACTTTATAAAGTTGTGTCATTTCAATTTCTTTATCATCCTGAAACGCATTGTACTATTCTTTCTTCCTATTAAATACAACGTGTGTTTCATTTATATGCAAAGTCTTTATTTTGAGTTCATTCTCTTTTTTACTACTGAACCTCGGCAGCTGGATGATCTCATTTCTTTTGTGAGGTAAGAAGTTAATGAGTAAGAATACTTTGGTTATTAAAGTTTCTTTTAAAGTTTGGAAAGCAAAGTATTTTTAAGTACTTTTTGAACCCATGGAACCATTGAAGGCTTGGCCCCGTAAGGCTGCTTGCAGCTTTAATTTTATTTATTATTATTATTACACAGGAATGGTATATTTATTAAGCTCTAAGCTGGTCCTAATCACCTCTAAGGGAATGGATTATATTGTTTGATGAATTTCCCCCACAAATATATCCTGGCTAATTTATTTGTTGAATACTGTTTCGCACGTGTACTGTTTTTTTTTTGTTTTTTTTTACAGCAGCATATTCCTATTCGCTTTCTTTTGAAATAAAAGACAGACTCATTCTGCCCCAATTTATGAAATCTAAGCTACAAAAATCTAGTTTGCATAAACTAAAAAAGACTAACATTAAAATTATATATACAATTATACTCTATAATAGCCTATATGGGCATGTATTTAAAAGTAATGTTCAACCGGGTACTTAGTAGGTCTACTCTGTTTTTAAATCAGCATAAAATACTTTAAATAAATAAGAAAATATAGCAACAAATGTGATAGGAAAAACAACAAGGCCAAAAAAACACATCACTGAAACATTGCTTATAGTGTCTCAAAAACCTGTCAGTTGTGGTTTTTTCTTCGTTTTAAAAAAATGTTTATTATTGATTAAGGGCTTCTATATAATCGTCATGTCAGTTAGGCTATCACTCGAACTTTTACCTTTTCCGTTGGTTTTAACCACATTCCCCATAATCCTCTTCACGTACTCTCACTTCCTTTTGAAACAGGAAGTTCTTGTACAATGGGAAACATGAAGCGATAAGGAGCAAAGCACTTTACAAGGTGTTTTATCGTTAGTGTATGTACGGGTTTTGTATGCTGATTACACCTGTTATCACCAGCCAACTTCTTCACATGTAAAAAAAAAAGAGTAAGACATCTTACTTACGGTTTGCGGGTTTGGTGTCGGGTCAAATATAGTCGGCACTCTCCCTTCCTTCAATAAGAGTTTACTTGCGTAGCCTGCGTTAAACTGTGACAGGTTCACAAAAGAGTCCGGACTGAAATGCGCTGAACAGATCGTTAATGTCGGACTGTAACGATCGGGAATATCGTTAAAGAGAAACTTCAGCCATTCGTTTCTGAAGTTGGGATCCTTTGGGAGGCTGTGCAGAGACGCGGGCTCGATCCTACAGCCGGGAATGCCACAACGTTTGATGGATTTACCCCACATCTAGATACACACACAAATAACACCGGGTTGTAACTTCTTTTTCTTTTTTTTAGAAACAATATTAATCTCCTTGTGGTTTCACCATGGGTGAATGTGGGCGATCATATGTTAATGTGCTCATGGCTGTGACGTCATTAGCCTAAAGTTACAACGACGGGTTCTGAGTGAGTGAGTGAGTGAGTGAGTGGGGTCAGTTGCATAAACATTACATAGCCTTAATGTAAAGCCAGTGTCTTAAGATCTAGTAGCCTATGATCCACTAGCGGTTAGTCATTGGACAGACAGTCTTACTTGTTGTTATCAAATTAGACCAATCTACGTTTTTATGTTACTGACACAAAAAAAGTTATGAACAGCCTTAAAAAAAAAAAAAAAAGATGACTTGTAGCGGTTTATGCAAGCAGACCCTGTTTTAGCAGCTAAAGCAATATGTTCTCTATTCAAAAGGACGTTTAGCAAACCATATGCCATTTCCTATTGGTCTATGTTTATTATAAGTATTAATTGGATAAATTGGTTTAACCTAGACAAAGTTAACCTAATTTCGTTTATTGTAGCCAGAAACTCATATTTTCTGGCATTGTCAGTATACAAAAAAAATAAAAGGTTGTGATGACAGGTTTCAAATTTTATACACGACAAATTGTTGAGAAATTTTATTTTACTGTATAAACATGTAATATTTGGTTTCTTAAATTATGGAAAAAAAAAGTTTGGGAAACGAGGCATGCATTAATAATCTTGTGGTTATAAATGTTTAGTTTCATATTCATCACAGTAATTCCAGCAATCAGAAACCTCCTGTGGTGTACTAGATAAGAAAATTGTAAAGTATAAGAGTATAAACTTAATAAGAGTATAAATATATAAATAAGAGTATAAATATATATATATATATATATATATATATATATATATATATATATATATATATAAGCATTAATTAAAAAAAAGTTTGGCAGCTTAGCCTACATTCTGCAAATGGGCAGTTCAATAAAACGTATTTTGTTGGCATTTTAATTAAATGGTTTATGGATGTTGGCTTTGATATGATCAATATATGTCCACATTTAAATGAAGTTGATCCCACATCACTGTTCTGCATCCCATTAGGTCTTGACACAGATGTACGTATTTGCAGAGGAAGAATGAGATTTGCTCGACTGGTCCTTTGATTAAAACTACATTTCCCATGATCCTTTCAACCGACGTTTCCTTTCTGCTGAAACAGGAAGTGTGGTACTGGTGTAAACATGAAGCGGTAAGCGAAAGGGTATTTTTATGTTTTCAAGTTAAACTTGTGTCTGAAACTACGTGAACGTTTACCGCATCATGATAAATATATGAGGACTTATTCCTACAGAGAGCCATATTAAATATGAGCAGAGAACTCTTGTACTGATATAGCAAGCCACATTACTAGCTGATTGCTATACATTTGTGAAGGGTTAATGATGAGAAAACGCGTATATCTGTTGACCTGGCGTTTTCTGAGACAGGAAATAAATAATATAACTAAAACTCACAACTAAACCTTCATATATATATATATACATATATATATATATATATATATATATATATATATATATATATATATATATATATCAATCAAGCATATTAAATATTTAAAAATGAATAAAAAAGGGGTTTGACATGGTCATTTTCAGCTTTCTACCTCATGAACAGGATTAAATAAAAAATAATGTAATTGTAATAAAATATTAAATTCTACGTGCGCATCATGATAGTGTTATTATGTACTATCTTTATTTTATGATGGTTAAAAAACCCCAAGAATAATTAGTTGCAAAACAAATCAGGATGCATTTGTGGTGGGGAGAGTTTAAAGTAATTGCATTTGGTGTGAAAAACAGTTGACAGAAATGTTTTGTGATTTTTCAGGGTTACACGTCTCGCCTGTGATGATGTGCCCATCCCTGAAGAACAGGAGACAGAGGGCCAAAGACAACTACACAATCTGCTGCTACAGCAACTGGATACAGATGTAAACATTGAGCGGTCAGTTTCTCATAACTAAGCATGGCTTTAGAATTGATTTTAATTTGGTCCACACACACATATATATAGCAGTAACTGACTTGATTGGTGGTGTCTGATTATTTAGTTGGAAACAATAGAGCATTGCAGGGATGACATATTTTTTGTAGGCCAACCTGTAAATAAGCACCACTCTGGTTCCCTCTGAAAAAAACACAATAACATTTTTCCATTGGCTTTATGGATTATCGCAGAAAATAAGCCCTGTGACCACCAAACGTTTACAAGTCTTGCATGTTTTGTTCATCATGAACATTATCAAATGAACACAAATTTTATTAATTTTGAAAATACAATCGCCAGAAGTAAAGAGCTAAACATAGCCTATAAATGAATTACACCACGGTCGAATGACATAAGTGTCACCGCCATTAAAGGGATACTTCAGGATTTAGCATTAAGCTTTGTATTAGTAGGAAACTGTAGTATTTTCAAATTACCGTGCTTTCCACCCTCATATTCCCCTTATGTATTTTTTGTCTGGAAAAAATCCTCCGATGACGCAAAAATTGTCATTTTGCGTCATCGGAGGATTTTTTGGCCAGAGGCTAAAGACTACAGCCAGTAGTAGGGGCTGTCCCGAATGTTTTCAACCCGCCCATAGAGGGTGGGATCTCACGTGGGATCTCACTCACAGTATGTACACAACATGGTGTCAGGCATCTTTTTTTGGAAGCTAAGCTAGCAGGCTCTTGTTCTGTGGAGAAAGCTGAGTAGTAGGGGTTAGCATCCTGTTTTTGCTGGACATGTCCGGCCGTCGAGATCGTACAAAATGTCCTGGATTCAGCTTTTGCTTTCTGCAGTCGCCATTCATTGTTTACATGCACACCTTTTGTTTCAATCTAACTGAATTCATTCTGATTGGTGAATCTGAATGTAGTGTTTACATGAGCGCTAAACAAGTGATCGGTTGATGTGCATTTTAACATTGCTAAGAAAATTCCCGCTCCCCGTGAGAGATACGAGACCGGTGCGTCTCACAGGTGGTGCTCATCAGTAATCACGCCACCGGCCTCGCGCCGTTCTCCCGCGGCCCTAGCCTCGTCCTGCTCGCCGCAGTAAACATGATGAATGGCGAATTTAGAACGCAAAAGACGAATCCTGGACCTTTTTGGGCGATCTTTGGGCGGAAGTTTGGGCATCACGGAGACTCACTAGTAGCCTAGACTTGTTGTTTAACTACTGCGCTCTGTTACCGGTACGTGTGGTCTCCTAGGGCAGCAAAGCAAATGCATTCTAGGAGTTGTCTTTCATCCACATAAGCCAAAAATACATTTTCTGGCTTTTCTCAGTCTAGAAAGCTCCAAATTCAAAAATAATTTCACATTTCTTATACATAAATGACCCATTTTAAATACACATTCATCTTTCCAGAGGTGAAGTATCCCTTTAAGCATAATTTAAACCAAAAACCCATTGACATCAGGACGTTGGAAACCGGAAGTGCTTAAATGCGAACTCGTTTCTGGGTTTTAGCCTAAAAAAAAGGCTTCCTCCCTGCAGCACTCTGTTTTTTTATGTTTTTATTTTTAAATAAACTTGTAAATATGTTTTTTTTTTATTAAGAAATCATGTATTTTATATTCAATTAAATCTATAATTGTAATATATTATTTCAATTATTATTGTGAATGTATTAATAATATATTTAATATTATTCGTTTAAAGTGTATTTACATAATATGTGAAATATTCCCTCATTCACATCATTGTTGTAGGTGTGTCGCTAAGAAGAAATGCTTTGCTCCAGCAGCAGTATACAAGCCTTTTGGGGAACAGGCAGCCGGTGTGAGGAGTCTGTCCCAGTTCCAGGCTTTGCAGGACGGGGATCAGGAACTGGCCGCTCTAAGAGAGTTGGGCCTTACAGAAGCTGAAATAGAGCTGTGGAGAGGCAGGGACCAGCCGGAGAGCTCTTGGAAGGTCTGTTCGCAGTTTTAACATTACGTGGATTCTAAACCGAATGATTTTCAACTGTAAGGAAAGTGAGGAATGTAAAGGCTGTAGGTCACTCAATGCAATGTCACCCAATTCACTATTTTACAGGACAGAGGGGTTTGTGTGGCTCCAGAGGCAAGGAATATGCGCCTACAGGCCATCCGGGATAAAATGGTGGCACATGCGGAGCTGCTGGCCCGACCTCAGCGTTTCTCGAGCAGTCGGCCGCTCTCCCGTAGGGAGATGGAGATCGAAAAGGCTCTTTTCCACGGCAGTGACCGCTGCAGTTTCCTCACTGCCCTTTACCATCGAGGTTAGAGAATATAGTAGTACTAAGTAGCACCTATAGGAGCTTTTTTTGTTTTAATCTTTGCTGTCTTTTCTATTCACAGAAGAAGAGTCACTGGTCAGCCAGCAGGGGGCAACATCTGCCATCACAATGGACCATTTCTATAAAGACTTTCTTGAAGGCCAGAACAAACATGTTGCTAGTACTTCAGAGTGTTTTCCTCAACCAAAAATTGTCTCTAATATCCTATGTAAATCATCAAGCTCTAAAACCGACCAATCAACTCGCGCAGTCTGTGATTCCCGCCCATCCAAAGAGCAACACCTATCCCAGGATTCAAGCCCTGAATCGGACACTGTCCTCCAACCACAGTCTCATGAAAAAAGAGTTAAAACTATGAAAATGACAGTTAGTCAGTCCATTGGCTCACTGAGTGCAGCTTTCATCCAAGGGCATGATGGGCCCGTTACAGTAAGTGGAAGGATTGAGGAAATTTCAGGTGAAGAGATCAAGAACAATCGTGAGACGGAAGAGGATATACGGAATATTCCCCGATTTAAGAACTACCTGAGAGGAAATCCATCCAACGTAAGTGTGGATAATAGCAACATGCCTGCTTTAGAAATGTTACAAAATCTTTACGAAAGGAATAATGAATTAGTAAGAAATCTTTATAATTTATTAGAATATCATTTAAAAGGTGGGCTGTATTATATTATATTCAAATGTTTGGGGTTGGTAAGAATTTTTTTAATGTTTTTGGACTAAAGCTCTTATACTCACCAAGGATGCATTTATTTGATCAAAAATACAGTAAAACAGTAATATTGTGAAATGTTACTACAATTTAAACTTACCGTTTTCTATTTTAATATTAATTCAAATCAGCATCATTACTCCAGTCTTCAGTGTCACATGATCCTTCAGAAATTATTCTAATATTCTGATTTGAAGCTCAAGAAACATTTCTTATTATTATCAAAGTTGAAAACAGTTGTGCTCCTTAATTTTTTATGGAAACTGTGATTAAAAAAAAAAAACCTCAGGATTCTTTGATGAATTGAAAGTTCAAGAACGACTCGGTTACTAATGGCGCTTTTCCACTGCATAGTACGGTACGGTTCGGTTCGGTACGGCACGCTTTGGCGCTTTTCCACTGCATAGTACGGTACGGTTCGGCTCACTTGTGGTGCTTTTCCACTGCATGGTACGGTACGGCTCGCTTCGGCTCGCTTTAAATGGTACCTGGTCTGTTGAGGTTCCAAGCGTATCGTACCGGTACTAAAATGTGACGTAAAAACACTGCAGATCACTGATTGGTCAGACAGAATCGTCACTACCAGCATCATTGGACACTAAACCCGCTAGATTTAAATAACCAGTAGACAACAGCCAACGCGGTAGCATCTGTTTTTTAAACTTTAAAAAGAAATGGCTGAATCGTGGTCAGTGGACGAGGTGCAGACGTTCCTCTCGTTGGTTGCCGAGGAGCGGATCCAGCGAGAGCTATCACCGGACCTACAAATAGTGTAGGGACAAAATAACGATCAGTCCCACCCACTTTGAAGGGGTACTAACTGCGGTGGAAAAGCAACCGAGCTAAAGCGAACCGAACCGTGCCGTACCGAGTCGAGTCGTACCACGCAGTGGAAAAGCGAAGCGAGCCGAACCGTTCCGCGCCGAGTCGAACCGTACCGAGCCGAACCGAGCCGTACCAGCAGTGGAAAAGCGCCATAACGTAACCTCGGTTCCCTGAGAGGAGGGAACGAGTATTGCGTAAGTAGCTTACGCTATGGGAAAAACTCCTTTTCTCGAGAAATACTGAAGTCTTTATGTAAAACGTATTGCAGCTGCACAGCAGACGAGGCGAGGCAGCTCGGTCATTGGCTGTGCTGCGGCAACTTGCTCGAACCAATGACGGGGCGACTCTGAACGCGCGACCAATGAGCGCGCTTCGCGCCCGCACGCGTCAGAGCCCGCCAAGATGGGCGTGGCCAAGGGCAATATATTGGGCGCCCCGTCCTGAGACTGAGTTCTTTTAGGTTCAATCAACTGAAGCGAACTGACCAAGCACAAGCACGGCAGCTTACGCAATACTCGTTCCCTCCTCTCAGGGAACCGAGGTTACGTTAGTAACCGAGTCGTTCCCTTTCGAGAGGTCTCTCCTATTCCGTAAGTAGCTTACGCTATGGGAACACCATGTAAAACGCCGTGCGTGCTGACTTCGCTCTATATAGCCAGAGGCAGATGCCTGAGCCGTAAAAGCAAAGTAATTACCCAACGAGCCGGCCAACGGCAAACTTTATAATGGGACAATGTAGAGCGGCCCGCGACGGGGCGCCCAGTGGTAAAAACACAAGCACATATGTACTGATATGCATAAAAAACCCTCTAAGTCAGTCAGAGACGGACTTTATAAGGGAGGAGATAATGCTCAGCATACACACACTCCAGTTTATACTACAATCAGGCTGATAGTATGTTGGAATGCAATGAGGGGACCTGTAGGTTATAAAACCTGATAAATGTTGACGGTGAGGCCCAGCCTGCCGCTGGGATACCTATTTTCAATAGGTATCCCACTCGACCACGCCAACGAGGAGGCCATACCCCTCGTGGAGTGAGCTCTGACGCCTAAGGGGCATTGAAGGCCCTTGGCTTCATAAGCCAGCGCTATAGCATCAACTATCCAGCGCGATATTCTCTGCTTTGAAACAGCGAGACCTTTAGTGCGGCCGCCAAAGCATACAAATAATTGTTCCGTCTGTCTGAACAGGGCAGAATGTTCCAAATATACTCTGAGCGCCCTGACTGGGCAGAGTAAATTAGCGTCGCTTTCGTCTGCTGGCAACATGACATCATGACTTTGCATAAACATACACGCCACTTTCAAGTCAAGTGGCGTGTTATCTATACGCATTTTGAACTATCCGCGTGTATGTCCACGCCGAAATCTTTTGCGTGTATGTCTACGCCGTTAAATGTCCGAGTGATTCCGCGTGTATGTGTACGCCGTTAAATGTCCGAGCGAAACAAAGCAAAATCTATATCTACATCTGTGGAGCGATATTTCTTTTCCTAGGATGGTAGGAGAAGACTCATAAATGGTATTAACCCCAGTGACGGGTAGGTTTAGGGACGGGTTGGGGTAGGTCATATATTTATATATATATAATACAGTAATATAACGTTAAGTCAAAGGCGTTGATAAACACGCTGAAAAGCGATTATGCGTGTTGATAGCACGCCAAAAATGGAAATACGAATTGGCGTGTCATACATACGCCATTTCATGAGATCAGTCTGCTGCTGGAGACGATAGCGCAGCCAGAGATATAACCTGTGCTCTGAAGGGTGTGGAGAGCACTTTAGGAAAGTAACTCATTTTGGAGCCACAAATAGAACTAATTGTAAAATAATTTTTTTCAGCATAGATAATTTCTGTAAGGTGTCCAGAACAACATACTAAAAGTCCTAAGAAATCCTAGTTGAGGAAATGTTTAATTTTCATCAATCCGAGATGTGTGCCAATAAGGCCAGACATCAATACACGTCAATGGGGCTATTTTTTTTCCTTTACTCCTATCAAAATAAAACTGTATACAATGAAAGTATCCATGAAAAGTAACACATTTTGTATTACAAGTTTCTTTGAAAATGAATTTTATTATGCAAATGAGCTATACACTAATCGAATATGCTCAAAATACACCCTAATGGACTTATTTTTTCCTTTACTCCTATTACAATCAAACCTCGCACAGTGAAAGTATACATGAAAAGTAACATTTTTGTTTTACACGTTTGTATCTTGTAAAATAAAAATGTATGTAGTTAGTTTCTTGGAAAAATCTATTTTAAATATGCAAATGAGCTCAACACTAGGCCTAATTGACTTATGGCCAAGAAGCCATAAAGTCATAAGTAGAAAAAACAGGGGCCAAATAACTAGCACATTCATGTCCATTCAGTAAGTTAACCTATGCATATACAGGTGATTCTGTGATAAAGTAACTCAGAACTCATCTCCAGTGGAACCTCAAACTCTCCCTCCAACGTCAACAGCTGCAAACTTCCATAGTCTTCGGGTCTTTTACCAAATGATGGAGTGGAAAGGGGGAAGTGAACGTATGCACCCAAAAGACTGGGGGTGGCATGTTTTGGATGGGAGATTTATGCCAATAATGACCGGTCAGCCTGCGGCACCACCAGAAATACAAGATGTAGTCCGCTGTAGTTGCAAGAAAGACTGCGGCACAAAGAGATGCACATGCAAAAAACATGGACTCCCTTGCACTGCCATTTGCGGAGAATGTCATGGTACTAGCTGCACAAACTCACAGTTGCCTGATTTATCAGATGAATATGACCAAGAGGGAAAGAACAAACCAGGAACTGATATAGGGGGTGGCAGAACCAAGAGCGACAGAGAAGGGGTCGAGGATCCAGACTGGATAAAAAAAATAATAAAAGAAAACATAAAATAAAAAACACCCAACCCTCCCCTGAAGCTTGTGTGCCTCTGTGACCCTGAAGACTAGTGATGGGCGTATCGATACAAAGTATCGATATATATCGATACTGGTGTCGAGAATCGAAAGTATTGATACTCAAATAAAAATATCGATACTACAGGGTTTTTTTTTTTTTACCAGTGATTTTGTTTATTTGACAAGAAATCTAATGCGTACAATATGCATAATGAATGCATATTGGATGAATAACCTATGTTAGTGAATAATTGTGTAGTAGAACCACTTCCCTGCTTATCTGAACTGAACACACGCAAATGCTGCAAGTCAGAACCAATCAATCATAGAAAGCATTCCTTATGGAAATGAACATTACAGTGACCATAGTTCAAATAGCCCTGTAATATTTTGTAGATTTCCATGGTTACCACTACAAGTAAACATTTTAACCATGTGTAAATAAAAATATAATCTAATAAATTCCAATTAAGGCATATTGAATGTTAAAATGCCTTTCAAATATAATGTTTAATGGGTATCATTACCCATTTTAATCTTTGTAATTTGATAATTTAAGAAATTTTCAAATTTAAAAGTTCAGTTTAAAGGTATCGTATTGGTATCGTATCGAAAACAAAATAAGTGGTATCGCCCATCACTACTGAAGACTATACCGGCGGGGGTTATACCCCTGGCAGGTACTACCAAGCCAGGCAGTTTTCAGGTTAGAGGCCAGTCTAAAAGCAGCATTGCCATCACCCATTGGCAGTAGGATGATTGGATGAAGATTGGGCCGATTTGTCATACATATGAAGGGTGTTTCTGCCTATGCAAATTAGGACATGTGGAGCTCATGTGCATATTCAAATTCATTTCAAAAGAAACTTGAAATACAAAAAGTTACTTTTCATGTATACTTTTACTTTGTAAAGTTTTATGGTGGTAGAAATAAAGGAAAAAATTAAGTCTATTTGTGGGTGTATTTTGGGCATATTCGATTAGTGTATAGCTCATTTGCATATTAAAATTCATTTTCAAAGAAACTTGTAATACAAAAAAAATTACTTTTCATGGATACTTTCATTGTGTAAAGTTTCATTTTGATAGGAGTAAAGG